GCGCCTCCTCGCTTGCCGTCGTCCCTTGCTTCGCTCACGCCGCGCATTAGAGAGAGAGTCCATCGCTTGTCTCTATGGAGAGAGAGAGAGAGCTCGCTCGCGCTGCGCATGGAGGCCATCGCACCGCAGGACGTCGCGGCGGAGGACGTCATGGCGGTCCGTCAATCTGCGCCGCAGGACGTCGTGCCGCCGGAGTCCGTCGAGCTGCGCCGTAGGACGTCGCTGGCTGCGGAGGAGGAGTCGGAGGATGATGCGGTCGGAGACGCAGGAGCCTCCAAGGAGGACGAGGAGGTGGGCTCTCGGAGCCACAGGATGAGTCGTCCATGGCCATGGCTCCTCGGCAAGAGAACAGTAGCAATGCGGGGTGCGCACATGAAAAAGAAAAGGAGATGCAAAGATAGAGTACTATTTGTTCGATCAAGATTAAATGTCTCATGCATACATCCATATTTGCCTAAATACCAAAGAAGCCTAATTGTGCAACTACTAATCTGAGGTCTAGTTGTTCCTCCATGAACCAAGCTTCTCCAAAGCATCGGCTACCAACGAGAGAATAATATTGAAATTTTGAAAGGCCTGTTCATGAAATTAAATTCAGATATAATGATATACTACTACTCATGAAATTAGACTGAGTTGAAACTAGAAAAGAAAATGTACTTGTAGAGAGTGTACCTATTGAATGCTCAGAATAAGGCCATCAACGCTTTTTGCATCTTTCTTAATTTCAATAGCTTGGATGGCACGAGATATGCCTAGATCTACGATATCAAAATTTGGTGAATTTGATGGTTGAAAAATGACCCTAATGTCAAAACCATCTTCTTTACCAGCTTCAAGGAACCGTGGATCATCATGTTCTACTCTAATATGAGAAGGTGCAATATCTTGCAGAATGTAGATAGGCTTGTCGACATCTTCTAGTGGCCATCTAGCTCGAATAGCAGGAAGAACGCTAGAAATCATGAATTCTCTAATTACATCTCTTGTAATTGTTGCTATCGGCTTCCCTTCAATTGTCCCAGCTGACCGGTTAACACTACTCCTCTTAGCATGCTCAAAAGTAACTAGAGGAAAGCATCCTATCTTTCCGTTAAAAATACACACTCCCCCCTCATCGAATCTTGGTCGAGCAGTCACACATAAAAACATTATTTTTTGAATCTTGCTCTTGGAAGAACCTAAGGTCAATATTCTAGTAAGAACATAAGAACACCATTCCTCATCTTCCGGTGGCAAGTTCAAATCCAAAGCAGCAAACGCTTCATTGTCATCTAGTAGAGTGGCATAAGAACATGCACACTTAGACTTTAAATAATGGATGCATGCATAAAAGAACAGAGACGAAGATACAAAGAAACAGGACAAGTACTTACCATTGGGATCCAATCCAGAAAAGAACTCGTCCATGTGTTGGGACAGTTGCACGACAAATGAACATGAGTTGGCTTAGTGTTGTGTTGCATACTAGTACTGCTTGCACTGTAGCGTTTAAATAGGGAAGTGACCCAAACGAACTAGCGCAAAAATCACGCGCCAGCGAACGGAGCGATCCGCGCCAACGGAAAAGATTGCGCCAACAGTCCCATGCAGCGGCCAACGCGAGCGCCAAGGAAAGTAATTCGCGCAGCAAGGGAAAAAAATGCGCCCACAGTGCCATGCAGCGAGCCTCAACGAATCAGGCAAGCGCCAACGAAAAAAATCGCGCGCAAAATTGACACATTACACAAAAAATATGACAACGCGAGGGATTGAACACTACCCTCGTGGCTCAAGCCTCAACGAGCTAACAAACCAAGCTGGAAGCGTTTGTTGTATAGGGGATACCTGCTACACATTTAATAAGGGTAGATAGGGAATAGTACACCCTAAGTAATCACTCCTTAGTTTTGGGTGGTGAGACTTGTTCATCAGAGTTTAAGTCTTGACTTGGCTCGTTTGTTCGAAATTTGACGATATTATTCTTGTAGTGGTAGGTGACGTGGCGTCGACGTAAACGCTCGTCAATCTCAAGGTCAGTTTAGCTTCTATACGCGCAGACATATCATTAAGAGCGAGGTCGTAATAAGTCCGTTGACAACGTATATGACGATTTTAGGAGCGTCGAGGGACGATGTTTTTGGACACACTTGGTTGGACGCCCGTAGGAACTAGGTCAAACTTCAGCCGTTTGCCCCAGCTAGCGCACAGGAATTGCAGTTTATTTTTCCCCGTTGGCGCAGCAAATCGAGGCAGCTGTTTCCACCGACGAATTTTGGAAAAAACTTTAGTGGAGACAGTATCCGCCTGCTAGTTGTGCATACCTATGCCTGATGGCTGCCGCGTGGGCACGCCAATGAATCTGATGGCAAGTGTTCCAGCAGCTAACCGTGTGGGAGCTGAGCTGAGGCACGGTGCACAGCCGAGCAGCGGACGAGGAATTAAGGACAAACGCCGGTTTCCTTTGGGTGCACACGTGACAGTCAATGTGAGTGTAAGAGCTCAGTTGGGAGGAGGGCCCTGGGTGGCGGCTAGGGTTGAGGGAGGTGAGGGCGACGGGCAGGAGGAGGGGGCGGCGGCGCTAGGGTAGAGGGAGAGAGAATCGACGCACGGGAAGGGAGAGGAGAGAGGAAAGATAAGCACGAGGCTATTTCTTTCTTGATTGCAATGATTACATAGCCTGTCACGTATAGTTCTCGGGTAGACTTGTCTTCTAAGTAACCAAATGAGGGAAGTCCTTATAGATATAGACTCCTCCCAATCTATCTAATCTTAACCGATTATATTTCTATTTCTCTTTTTTATTGAATATCCTCCGGATATAGACATGGAGGAGCGGCGACAAAGCGCCCTCGCCAGGTCGCCTCCCTTTGCCGTCTTGGCGCCGCCTCTCTCCTCATGTGGCGCGGGCTGGCCTGGGCCTCGGCCTTCCATCCGACCCGACGATGACGGTGAGCATGCACGCCGAGTCATACCGCCTCCACCGAAATTTTTCCCGAATTTTGGTCCGCTGCCCCAACGCCCTGGGTCAAGGCCTCAGGCTGAAACAAAACGCCCTGTGTCGCTGTGGTTTTTCCTGTCGCCTCCACGGGCGCACGCCCACGGGCCACGTTCGAGTGACACCGACACGTGTCACGTGTTGGGGAGTACTGTACTACCCAGCAAAGCCACACAGAGATTAAGCTGGGACCCACAATTCCACTACAATCAAGGCCAGTTTGGATGTCAAAATTTTTAGCAAAAATGTTATTTGTAGTGTTTTTATTGTTATTTAAGAATTAGTGTCCAATCATAGTCTAATTAGACTTAAAAGATCGCCTCTCGTGGATTTCATTCTAAACTGTGTAATTAGTTTTATTTTTATTTATATTTAATGCTTCACGCACGCGTCAAAGATTCGATGTGACGGAAAATCTTGAAAAATTTAGCATTTTGGGGTGTAACTAAACAGGGCCCAAACTACATAATACAATAATCATTTATATGTGGTCCTGACGAGCATTAGGATTGTCCCGGTGACCAGCACGAAGTTGGCGGGCAAATGGCAGCCACATGTTTATCCGCTATAGGTATGAGGTGCTTCCGGCAGCAAAGACTTCACCCAAGTCAGTCAACTGGATAGGATTTCTCCACACGACCATTGACGGACTCTTAAGTAGGTCTAAACATTTTTTTTTTCACATTTTAATAGAACAAAGAGAAAAGCTAGTTTTTAGCACATTTTAAGGTTACATAAGAGTGTCATATAGGACTATCTATATTAAAAACTACGGAGTATATGCTAAAAATTAGTATTATTAGAAAAGTTAGCTTAGAGACAGTAACTACCCCTAATCCATGGCCGATAACCGTAACCTCCTCGCACTGTTGTAAAAAAACGTAACCTCGCACCGACCTGGGTCACCAAAGGCAGTTTTATATAGTGTGCACAAATGGGTCCCACTTTATATTTGGATAAAAAAAATTAAAAGTGCTTTAATACGAACAACGGCCCGTTCGCTTAAAAAAAAAAGCCAAAAACACTGTTTCGGCTAATTTGTTAGGAGAGAAAAACACTGTTTCGGCTAAAAAAAAAACTAAAAAGTACGGATTATAAGATAAGCGAATATGGCCGACCTCGTGTGTCTTTATCATCAGCACAACCCTTGTAGTATGTTGTATTTTAAAGAGCTTCACATATAACCCCTCCGTTCCAGTATATAAGGCGTAATCATCACTGGTTCAAAGACCAAGAAAGACATTCAATTCTCTCCCTTACACTGGTATTATTGTATCGATGTACGTGTGTCTAGAGAGAGCACATCTTGTATTATGGGACTTTAATAAAAAATGATTACGTCTTATATACTAGGACGGAGGGATTAACACTTTAGATTAAACACTAACAGCCAATAATATAGTGTTGACCCACCTTTCTTAACTTTTTTTCCTGTGTAAAAGTTTATGTAGATACGAGCGCTAATTGCTAGCTAGCTAGAAATTAGCACTAGTTTATCCAAGTAAAAGGACTAATAGATGAACTAACTTTTTAGCCAAATCTTTAACTACTTGTTAACCAACTAATTCGTCAACCATAACTGATTTAAGTTAATTTTTAACTCAAACTAGTAACTACGCTATGTGTATCGAATCAAAGAGACCAAAAATTAGACAACCGCACGTAGTTTTTGTTTCCCAACCATATATGGACCAATAACAAGCCTATCATGGTCAATAGGCAGGGCTCGGCGCGGCAAAGTCGCTGTTAAAAATAGATGGCTGAAACATCATGCATTAGATGGCTGATGATGAAAACATGCAGTTAGTAGTAATAATACTACTATGATAAAATATTTGTTTCCCCGAAACGATCCTGGCCACAAAGGCCTCGAAATTCCTGTCCACACGTTCCCTCTTCATATAGAGCAGTGTGAACCTTGACTCTTCCTTAGACCTCAAGAGTCAAGAGCCCGATAAAGCTGTCAACGTCAGCGTTCCTAGCTAGCTTCACACACACGGACACACCTCTGCTCTGCTCTGCCATGGCCAACCTCGCGCCGACCTGGGTCACCAAAGCCGGCTTGGGCGTGCTCACCCTCAACTCCGGCCTGGCCATCTACCGCGCCAGGGGCGACCTCGCCTCCATCCTCTTCGTCTCAGGTTCGTACACCACCCTGCTCCTCCTCTTCCGCTGCCTCCGGGACTACGAGCGGGCGGCCCCCGGCACCCCGGCCAGGGAGCGGGCGAGGCGCGCGGTGTGGCCGCTCACCACGCTGCTCACCGTGGCGTTCGCGTGGAAGGTGGCGGCCGTCATGCCTTCGGCCATCGCGGCGGCCGTCGTCTGGGCGCTCGCCGTCGCGACCACCGCCGGTGGCTTCTTTGCTCTGTTCGTTCCCGGATGAAGTCAGGATGGACCGGCCGTCAGATCAGATGCATGCTTCAGGCCGGCTCCGGGTGTGTGCGTGCGTTACTGATATCTGCAGTGCAGACAGCCGGAGATGATGTGTAATTAAGTCGTGTACGGACTACTACGGAGACTGCAGGTTTATCCTGCTCGGGTTCGGAAGGGATGGCTGCAGCAGTTACTGTTATCATGTGTATATATTGCAGATATATACTGTACGCGATGTTTTTGTTCTGCTGTACTGTATTTGCTAGTCTGTAAATGTAGTACCCTCTGTTTGTACTAAATGTTTGCAACATCAGCCATAAAATAGCGAGGGAGCTGGTTTAAATTTGTATGGATTATTGCAAATGATCGCTCTGTTTGCTTGACTTATAAGCCATATTTTTTCAGCCAACAAACAATATTTTTCTCTTACAACAAATCAGTCAACGGTACTTTCAAATTATGGCTTATCAGCCAAACGAACCGGACAGACGAGGAAGCTGCTTGTAAGAAAAAAAGATGAGGTCACCGGTGAGGTGGTCACTTTCCCCACTAGTCAGTATCTCGATCGGTATCGTGGCCACTACTGAGCACCAATAAGTGAGCATCCATGAGTCCTCCGCGGAATCAAACGAGAGAGTTGAAAGTTGGGAACCGGATAACTCTTATCTCTCGGCCGCCACAGAACAATCCACTGGAATTTTGGTGCTCGATGGTCTAAAAAATAGAAATTTTGGTCCTCATTCGCCCATTTTATCAAGTAGCCAGCGCCCATCGGTGTTGAGCCTTTTGTGCAGTTTACGGCCGCCTGCTGCAGCGGTGTTGGCGAGCTGCTCCACCGTCGCACCGCATCATCCTCTGCTACTATCATAGTACCGTCGCCATACGTCACGTCACTTACTGTCGAGAAAGCACGAAATCCTATACTAAATCCACGTCAGAGCAGTGTCCAAAGTCAGATGACCCTACCCTTAAAAAAAAGTCAGATGACCCTCGCCGAAGGGGACGTCAAAGTTCATCTAAATTTTGGATTTTAGCCCCTACTTTAGGTATTTCATGGGTATACTCCCGGAGAAACGATTTGCAGAAATGGAGCTCAGACCTTCATGCCGCTGCCTTTCTTTGGACACTGTATCATTTAGCGCTGAGTTATATGACGTGGCTCGCATGGCGAGCTGACATGGCGGCAATAGTCAGTGCCAGCTCTCTCGGTGCCAAGGCCCACAACGACCAGGTCTAGGCCATATCCTGGCGGCCAGGCTGGACCATCCCACCAGGGCCCAAGCGTCGGCGTCAAGCCGAATGACGCTGAGGTCGGCACTAAAGCCTACTAGAAAACAAAGCGCGGCGTTGCCGCGTTCCTGTGTGGAGTGCCTCCCATTGTGAAGCCATGTTTTTGTGAATCTCAAATGCGGTGGGGCAGAGGTTAGGAAGAGCGGATTGTGTCCAAATATAGTGTTAATGTCCTGATTTGTAATCTGAGCTGTACATAAATATTTATGACTTGTTCTAGAAAAATGAAGTTCTAGAGTAATTTCTACTCCGGAATTGTAGAGCACTGAGTTTATCTGCATTGCATTGCTGAAGAAGAGTGTGGAGGTTAGATGAAACCAAGCATTTCATATTACAGGTGCCAATGTGACTGATAGCTCTTGGAAGTTGGTACCCTGATATACATACAGAGATAAATGAGAGCGTGAATAAAACATTTCATATTACAGGTGCAAAAATTATGTACTGTGAAACCTGTAGTTACCATACATGTAAGGGATTATCTAAGTACAATTGTTAGCAGAGCAGAACAGAATCAAGAGATCATGGATCACTCTTGCAAAGCATTATTATCAGCGAATCCTCAAATAAGGAAAGAGTCAAATGATGCATGAAGAAACATGAAGTAATTCATTGCCACAAGCTTTTATAAGGAATAGATAGCAGTAGTACAATATAACTAATACAGAAAAAACAAATGTGCTGAATGCTAATGTTTTTTTTCAGTGGTGCAGCTTGATTTCACTGGGTGATAACGGATAAGGTTATATATATATAAGTAAGAGCATAAAAAGCTCAGAACATTTGTTTCAGAAAATGTGGTCGATATAAGAGCATAAAACAAAATTGAAGTACTGATTACTGAAGGGTGGGATCGACTAAAACTAAAAAGGTGCATCACTGACAAAGTACAGTTTGCTAATGGTCAGATATAACAGCTGCCTCTTTACCTTGTATTCAGGTTTCTCTTGAACCATTAGCAATTTTTAGCATGCAGGATGCAGCTCACATGAAAGAAACCTCGTGAGTGATAATCTTCTTAATATTCAAATGGATATCTTTCGTACATCTGGTAGTGATAACTGTGTTAACATTAGTAGTGTTTCTGCAATGATGTTTTTGGATAGAAAATGGAACTACTTACAGTGATTCCTCTTTTATAGAGCATATACAATTTGTTTCCCACTTGCAGGGTATACAATAAAAAAAGTCTAAGATAAGTTAATTTGCCCCCAGAACTCCAAAAGTCATAAGTGGGAAACTTTAGTGGCTAATAGCCAAATACTACGTCTATTCACTTCCCTAACGATTTGTTTGTCCCTAGGATGGTCACATATACAAGAGTTTAATCACTTGAAAAAATTCTGGGGCACTAAATCAGCAGAAACATTATGGCTTGCAAGATGTGCCTAGATATTATTCTTTTTTTAATTACCAATAGAACATCAGTATACAAGGTTTGTCTAACTGAATATATTGGACAATATTTTTTTAGTCCTTTAATCCCAAAGTGCCAATTGATTCATAATTAGCATAATGATAGTGTGATTTATGTCCAAATCCTATGAACCAATATTCCTAAGGAAACCTGGAATAATTGATAAATGGAAACGAACTGCACGGTAATCTCCAATGTGTTAGTAGAGATTAGAAAGACTTCACCACTACCACAGGGCGCCACTGCAGCCGAGTAGGGAGCAGAGTAGGGTACCTTGATTTTATATCTCAAAAAATGTTAGTTTATAAGGTCAAATTCACAATTCATAATACCATGAGCAGCACTTTATTGATCTGTGACTGGCAGTTATAAACCAAGATTTTTGCCTAATGCCTCTGGGTGTTTGATTGTGGTAGAAAATACAACATGATGCCCAAAAAAATAAGAGTCCTATGATGCAACCATTGCCAAGTTCCATTACTCAAAAATATGATTACTCAAAGACAGGGAAATTTCAATATTGATAATTCAAAGCTCGAGGTTATAAGCTGGGGAACACTTCATTTTCCAATTTTCCATAGGGTATTGTTGCCATTTATTGCAGATGGATGTAGCAAGGAAGAGGTAGTATGCATGCTATGCACATGATTTCCACCATATCACTTGATAACCTTTGTGGCTCAAGTATTCATCAGCATATCAGAGGTGGATCTTTTGATCTTTTTTTTTTTTTGTTATCTTTGTAAAGATGTTATAGATCCAACTATCCAAGTCCAGAACCGGTAAACAGAACTGATTTGCCTTTGAATGTTCTTACTTTTTTTCTTGAGAATTGTCTTACTGATATTGAATATGTAATGGCTGTACTGTTATTTTTATGTTTCATACATAAGCCATCAAGTCAATATTGTTCTTCTGTTTAATATTGTTTTCATGAACCGAGATTTGAGCGATTATTATATCAAACATTATGTAAGACTGAATGATAACATTCCAGTCTTTTTTTTGCTGAAAAACAAATATTCCAGCCTATAATTTGATTAACCAAAAGTAATATTGCAACCAGAATTTTTTAATCAAGAAAAAGGCATGGCCTAGAGCAAGAATTCAAGCAAGAGAGGTCTTTCAACATAGCAATGAAATGAAATTTAGTATGTGCTAATGAATCAAAGACCTATGTGTTGCATCAGAAGGCCTGTATATGCAAAGAATAACTGTCCGATAGACAGAGCTGAACCTTGTAACCATTTGGTCGAGCATGTGGTGGGCGTCGTCCATGGCGCTGTCCACCGTAGCTGCTGGGGCATTATCTGGAGCGTTCTATGGCACGAGAGGGAGCACAGAGGTACGGGGAAGCTGCGCAGTGTTGGCGCTGTTTGCCTTCTGTCTCGTGGCAGCGACGCTCACCTTCCCCCACGGCAGCGAAGACGTGGCGTGAGGAGGCGGCTGCTGCTCCCTTTTGCGCAGCCAAGTAGGGAGCACAGCAGGGGGGCAGGGCCGCGGCGCCCCGCAGCTGAGTTGCCGACCAAGGCGGCAGGGCGCCGCGCAGCAGAGCAGGGACGCTCGCCGAGCGGAGCCGGGGTCGGAGGCGGGAGGCCGGGGCGCCCGGGGCCGGGGGCGGTACAGCGAGGCTGGGGAGCAGTGTCAAGAGTTTGGGACCACGTGAGGTGTAGGCGTGGAGCCGCCGCGCCGAGTCGCCGAGCAGGGGGACCTGGGAGCCGATCCGATCTAGACTGCGGGTTGATTTCGAAATAATCTAAGGTGTATTTTGCAAAATATACTGAGAGGAGCTCTGGAGCGTGGGTTGATTTTTGAAAAATATAAGGGGTTTTTGGAAAAATGACCGCGGCTCGCCCGATCTAGGCCATCCGCGCGTCTGATCGAACGGCCTCGAAACACACGCGATGTGGCACGCTGGCTAGCCAGCTTTTGGAGGCAGGATTCATATGTAAAAGATGCTGCATGCTTGGATGCCGACCTAGCCCGCCTATGTGCCAGTCTTTGGATCTCTCAAATAGACCGTTGAAGCTTCGATTGAGTTTAAGATCTTTCTATATCAAGGTATCCTCCCTCTCTCCCTTAATTTGTACACGTTGATTTTGTCTTTTTGAAAAATGTTTTTTTTTGCATACCCTAATTTTAGTTGTGTGGTAGCTTAGTTCATGGCTTGTGGATGAAATGCTAAATCCGTGGAAGGTTTGAGTAGATTATGTGTAGTAGCATGAATTGCAATCAAATGTAGGTCCAGAATTTCATGACTAGTTAATATTCTGCCATGAGATGTTTGTGTGGCTTAGGTTCCA